TAAGGTGACCTCTGCCAATAAGAATTCGAAAACCCTTCTCGACCGAGACTTGGATAGGTAACCAGTCGGCTTCGACGCAGTGCTGTTTATCCAAATTGAAGGTGCTCCTCGGTCGGCTGATTCTACGGCAACAGTGTTGTTTATCCAAACTGAAGATGTTTGCCGGTTGCCTCCACAGTGTTGTTTATCCAAATTGAAGATGTGTCGGCGAAAAAAGAAAATAAAAAAAATCTCAAAGTGTTTGAGAGGTTTGCGCAAGGCAATTTGTGTGTTGAATTGGAGAGACTTGAATTGTGCACTCCATTCTCTATTTATAGTAGCAAGAACAAATCCTTCTTACGATCGAGTTAAAACCATACTTGGACTAGGGCTCCTTACCCTAATCCATCTTATCTTGGCTAGTCCTTCTTCCATTAGGGTTCTGAACTTAACCCCTTATCAGGCCGCATTCACCTCCAGGTTTCAACGTCCTTATCTGGCTGAGAATCCTTATTGCATTAGGACTCAACTTCTTCATCCATCTGCTTCGCAATAGGGCTCACCCATTTCCTATTCATCTGGAATATTCCTTTTCCAAATAGGACCTGGCCGACCTTGGTTAGGCGGCCCATGTTCCAAACGGTTCATAGCAATCCTCAAGCAGAGCTTCCGGGCCGAGAATAATTCTATACTTGGCCCAACCCAATAATTTTAGGTCCAAACACTTATATAGAGTTTGGCTTCAGCTTGAGGGTGATTTAATAGGGCATGTGTGCGCTACCTAAATGGTTGGTATGAATCCCACGTTTTCTCACCCATTTAGCCAACAACGGTTGACTATGAGAGGCATGATGAGGGCCGGGCACCAATCAAGAGTCATGTTTAAAGATCACTTTTAACATTATCAGTGTTCATGGACTATGTTTGGCCATGATTATATGAGGTCATTATCGCTTGAAGGTCTAGCTAGATCTTGCCTTAGGAGACCCTTTTGGGCTGATCTCATCTACAATCACTTCTAGGCTTGTCGAATCCTCTTAACATCATCAGTGTTCATGGACTATGTTTGGCCATGATTATATGAGGTCATTATCGCTTGAAGGTCCAGCTAGATCTTGCCTTAGGAAACCCTTTTGGGCTGATCTCATCTACGATCACTTCTAGGCTTGTCGAATCCTCATTGGCCTTCACTTGGCATGTTGATCCCACTAACTCTGTTAACGGAGGTGCAGGTGCCTTAGTTTACATGAATCCATCACATGATGTATGGAGAGCAAGCTAGTCTGAAAGAGGTCTCTCTTCTGTTTGGTGTGATTTATGTGGAGATATTCCTTCTTGCATTTGATGTTGAACCCACGCCAAGATTAAGTGTTGGTGAAACTCGACAATTTTATTAACTAAAAGTATGCTTTAATACATATGGCGTCACTACAAAAATAATGGGCACTGCACACAATAAATTATTTGTGCCCTTTGAGGCCAAAATGCATCAACATATGTGCCCATAGACCAATGGCAACAGTGTAGCAACTATTAGATTGTATGTGCCCTCTATGGGTGTCACCTTTGATGAAAGGGCACAATATGACTTTTTGTGCTCAAACAGTTCAGCACAAATAGATGTCTTTATGTGCCTACATTCTGACAATCTGTCAGACAAGCTAACAACCACCTGACGGGCACTTTTTTGAAATGGTGCCTAATAAGCTGTATTTAAAAATTAAAAAAAAAAAAAATTGAAAAATCAAAACAGGCTACAAACTGAAATTTAAGCAAAACAAAAGATTAAAAATTTCATAAAATGAAAGCCAACGGCTTCAGCTGTTAGAATGAACCAAACAGTAAAAGTGGAATATCATTAATGAAAGTATACAAGTATTCCTCATAAAAAAAACATGTGTACTTTAGCCAGGCAAAACTGATATATCCAACAGAACTTAAGCAATCCATGCATCTCTACGTATAGCCAGGCAAAACTGATTTCACCTCTTTTTTCCAACTTGGTGGATAATGCAATCATCTTCCTGAAATCCAAATCAAAGGGAAAATGAAAATAAATTGTTAAGCACCTATTTCCAGTGATGTTCAGGGACCAAAACTTGCAATCGGCATTGAGAACTCACAAGCACTGACGCATTGCTACTTTGTTATACTAAATAACAACGAACAAAACATGCAACTTAAATGAGCAGCTAAACCATCATTACAAGCAAACAAGATGTACAAAACAATACAAGTTTGGTCAATCATTTAGCTTAAGGTCAAATGCCGTGAGATAAATCTCAATGTTATGACATTAATTTCTAAGAAAGATAGCAAATGCTAAAAACCTTATAGGATCTGCAAAGCAGAGTCTAATAAATAAGTATTTTGAAATCTAACCTTGCTTATATTCCCCAGTTTTGCATCTCATCCAATCTTTGCTCCACAAACGAACTAATCCGGATGATATGTGTGGTATTTGGACCTCTCACTGCCAAAGTCATGAATAGTACCAAAAATTAAAACGATCGATCTAATTCATCAACTTTAATCAACAAACACTACAAGTAAATGTAGAACTACAAATATTTTGAACATGTAAAAGTAACTCGTGGATAACAAAATTACAAAATTAATCTACAAAAGCAGAAAGTGGTGAAACGGTTCTATCAATTTCAAATCGAGATCAATCCCGACAAGAACCAACATAATCAGCCAATAATGCAAATGAACCTTTGCCTCCTTGAATCCATGGGACCTTACAATTTGGGAACCCAACTGATTTTTTAGCAAAAGAAGTGTCATTTCTTTGATTTCGGAGTAATAGTTGTTTTTTCCTGTCAATTAGTTGTCTGTTTTTTTTAATTAGCTTACGAGAAAAATGGCTTTAAGGATAATGCAAATGAGGCATCTTTCAAGGGGCATATGGAATGTGCCTCCCACCATTTCAATGACTTTTTTTAATTACTATGATCTTCTACATCTCTCCTCTCACTTCATGAATTTCATTTACAAATTTCTCGTTAACTAAGGCATTTAGCATCATGCCCTTTTTTTGGTAATCAGATATTACAATTTTACACTTGCTTAAACGGTGAGTTTTATTATAGTACTAATAGTTATATAAACCTACCACATGATGACTCACACTTTTGCCTTAAATCTGATAAGACTGCCTTAATACGTAAACCTGAGTGGAAGATTTCTGTAAAGTGAACTCACACATTTATCTTTTGTAGATGAAGGAATGAATGGAAGAAGATAACCAACTTTTGCACTACCTGTACGATTTGTTCATGTGATTGATCATGGGTAGTTTAGCTAGATCACAAAACTCAATTCATCGGAGTGACACCGGATTACAGTTTAGGCCTCCTCTTAAACCGTCTGTCACAAGCCCGATGCTTGCATATGAACCTTTGCCTCATTGACTCCATGGGACCTTACATTGTGGGAACCCAACTGAGTTTTTGGCATCTTTCATTAACTGGAAAATAAAAAATAAAAATAAAACAAATAAAAAAACAAAAAGAAAACACTGTAATTATCCTGTAATCGTATCTTAATCTCACTGCCATTTCAAATTAAGGGACAGAAAAAGTTGAAAACCACCTGAGTCAACGAAATATCATGTAATCATACGACATGGAAATGAATTTAAATAATTAAATTAAATTCAACATTTTGGCTTGATTGATATTGGTCGAATATTTCCAATCTTTCTTTCCCGGGGAAACAAAAGCGACTACATGGAATTCTATTTTATTTATTTTCCTTCATCTCCTAGGCAACCAAAACAGATCGAAAACTTAAACAAAAAATGCCAGAAAAGTTGATGAAACAAACTACAATAAGCTATAAACATTAAAAATTAAATGACCAATTTAAAACAAGAATATTACATGCGACTAAACTTTGAAATTCCGAGCAGTCTCCAAGCGAGTAAACTTTGACATGCATACAGAAAAGGGAATTAAAATTCAAAATCTAAAATGGATCCCAAAACTGAAAGTTTTTATTTTAGAAAAGAACATACACTGGAGGACAGCCCACTAAAAGATGATCATCTTTACCTCTAGGGTCGAGGTCTAATTCTGCCAGGCTTGGCCGAAAACTGGCCAAAGAATCCGCGGTCACCATTTCTTAGATATGAAATTGAGGAAATCCGGCTATGAATTTGTAGAAACTAACTTGGGGGTTGGAAGGAGGACAGAAAAAGGATTCTGGAGGTATAATTTGACGGTTGTTGGTGATCGGGAGACGGCGGTGCTGTTGCATGCAGAAGAAGGGGGAGAAAGAGGATACGGGCGGGGGAAAGGGGTGGCTGAGGACACAAACTTTTGTGTGTTTGTAAATTAATAAAATAATATCTCTCTGACATTAAAAGGACACATGCAAGCTGGACACAAAATTTTGTGTTCAAACTTTAGTAGGCACAAACACACAACACAAACTAATGGTGCTTTTTTTTTAAAGGGCACAATTGAGATATTTGGGTGTACAATGGACCTTATAAAGCACAATTATGTATTTGTGCTCAATGAAAATGAGAAGGGCACAAATCAATTGTGTTCTTAGCCCATTTTTCTTGTAGTGCGTCCTCTCCAGGGTTGATAAAATTTGATTACCACATTGATATAGCCAAAATAAAATACCTAGAGTCTCAAACAAAAAAATATGTAGTCCAATGGTATGCTTCCCAAACACATTTCAAAAAGAAAAACAAAGAAACGTCGTTTTTCATATTGCCCTTTAGAAGGATATCAACCCTATGACCCTATCTATTCACGTTGGAGAGAGAGAGAGAGAGAGAGAGAGAGAGAGAGAGAGAGAGAGAGAGAGAGGAATGGCGACCGTCGACCAAGGCTTGGATAGGTAGCCATGCAAGTGGCAAAACCACGAGAGTCCCACCTTAGGTGGATATTTTACGTATGAGCTTGTGATGGAGAAGAGCCAAAGCCTCCTGCTGAGAGTTATTTTTAGGACGCCCAACACTTATATAAGAACTCTCCACCACCACCATGCACTCAAACAATATCACAAAACTCAGTCGCCACCTTTCCTCCTCATAACCTTCATTCATTCTCGCACTTTCCTACAGTTCCCAAAATACCCCAAACCCACTATGGTTGATCAGGAGCAGCACAGCCGTGGCCTCTTGTCCAGCCAAAGGGACGAAGAAGAAGACGACAAAACCTCATCCTACTCTCAGTCTCAGTCTGGTTACGGTGCCCGGTCTGGTGGTGGCTTGGGCGACTCCACTACTGGTTACGCTTCCCAAGGACGTACCGGGGCCCGCAGCGGGGCTACGGTGACAGCAACAGCACTGATTACTATGGTGAAGGACGCCTTACTGGCGGAGGCGGCTATGGAGGAGGCAAAATTGATGATTACTCGGAAGAAGGACACGGAGGCCGTGCCGCGTACAGCGAGATCACTGCTTACTCTAGCGAAGGACATCGTACTGATGGAGGTGGCTACGGCGGGGCCAGCAACACAGATAGTTACTCGGAAGAAGAACACGGAGGCCGTGCTACGGAAACCACTACTTTCTCTGGTGAAGGACGTCGTACTGGCGGCGGTGGCTACAGCGATAACACTGATTACTCTGGTGAAGGACGTCATACCCGCGGCCGAGGTGGCTACGGAGACAACACTGATTACTCTGCTGAAGGACGTCGTACAAGCGGCGGAGGTGGCTATGGAGGGGTAAGCACTGATGATGACTCGGAGGAAGGACACGGAGGGCGTGGCAGAGGAGGGTACAGCAAGAGGAGTGAAACCGATGAGTCGAGTGACTATTGAGGAACTTAATTAGTGTGCTGCTGCTACGTACTGGCGATTATGCATTGCCTTGGCCCTTGGTACGTAACAATATCAATATGTCAACCCCTAATTATTTTCATGATTTTAATTAATTAGTACGTGCTTTTAAATTGTATGAGTTGGATATCTTGTTACAAATAGTACGCACGCCAAAGAGAAATGGATTAAGAATTCCCTTAAATTATCCCGGTGATTAAGACTTTTCAACCCACTGCATTCAAGTTCTAACATTTCTCTCCCTTTAAATAATTTATAGGGGAATTGTTACGACATGAGCGTCACCATATTTGTCCAAAAAAAAAAAAACAATTGGAGAGATTAAATTTTGTATAGTTAACAAATTATTTTAATAAATCAGTAATCTGAATGACTACATTATATGCTTGAGGTAGTGAGGCCAAATCTCACCAAAATGTCTTATTGAATTAATCCATAGTTTTCTGCTGTCTGAAATATCGTTTTATTTGATAATTTTTCATTTCTTGGTTACTTAAAAGTATAAAGTTTGACCTTTATTTATGCTTCCTTTTCTTGTTTCTGCTGCAGCATGAGAAGCACGAAGCAGAGAAAGAACAAAAGTCAAAAGAGAAAAGAGGAAGAGACTAAGGAAATGAGAGATTTTTCAGTGTGATTGGAACAAGAAGTGATATATCACGTGTTACTATGAAAATAGTGGGATATGTGTATTAAAATGTTAATAACTTAAAAAGTAAAATTTCACATCATTTATATAAAAATATGTGATGTACCATTTATATTCCCAACATAATATGAAAAATTTCTCCAAGGAAAGAAACATTTCTTCAAAATTTAAACCAAAATAATGATCAATTAACTATTTCTTAATTTTGCATTAAGTTTAATTCAGCTATTTTGTATGGTTACGTACGATCCAAAAAATGTTCATCTCTCAGATTGAATTAATGCTTGTTGAGCGTTTAATTAATTATCAGACTAGTGTTATCTAGTTTTGTTTATCACGCCATGTATTTCGCTGTTAATTTGAACAACATTTCTTTATCGTATTAAATTCTAGAGAAATGTTAAGGAAACTTTTTAAAAATGAGACTTTTCATCGACTCTTCGTCACCTCATGTTCTTGGCACAGTTCTTGTATCAACATTATAAAATATTATGCCAAAATGATGAGGTGGCAAAGAATCTATAGAGAGTGAGTGTTTACTGATCAATTTGGAGAGCTGCAGGAAACAACTTTTGATTTTATAGTTTTTAGGCTTACAAACGCGGAAAATGGATGCGGAATGTGTGAAATAGTTTGTAAGCTTTAGTTAAGAAACTAGGACAATTCAATGTAAAATCCACTACAACTAGATAGAGAAAAAGTTAATGAGCGTAGGGAAACGTATTTAAAAAGGGATGTGTTATCCATACACCTATTTTTACTTCTTACACACCCTTTGTTAATTTCTATCCGTTGATCTTCTTCAATTCATCCGATTCGACTGCCGAAAATTAGAAGGGTGTGTGAAAAGTAAAAAATGATATGTGGATATCACACCCCTTTAAAAAAAGTATAAAAAGTTGAAGAGAATTTGGATAGAGGAAATTTACAACTACGTAGTTTAGTATTCAACGTGAAACAAAATGAGTGCTGATTGTTGACTACTTGACACACTCCTTTTTTATCTGGGCTTGGGACTGACAGCGTATGATAAACTTACATAGGTAAAGTTTACGTAGTAGTAGCTTCCATAATTCCATTCAAATACTTCAACAACTCCAGTTCACATTAGTCGAAGAACTACTCGGAAAATAAACCCCACTCAGGATGCTCCATGCCAAGAAAATACCCCAAAATAAATCAACACTCCAGAAATCCCATGCCTAAAAACTCACCAAAATAAACACTACAAGATACTTTAGGCAGTACAAAGTATATAGTAGTCAACTAGTCATTACTCATTAGTGATCATTTCTTCATTCGTTGCACAAATGAATTCTACATTGGAGAATGTAAGTGTATGAAAGCTAAATATGAAAATCTACTTCTTCGATGTCCAAATTATGTTTGCACCAAATCTTAGAGAAATTTCGTAAACAGAGTTCTGTGGCCACAGAAGCAAAAAATACAATCAGTCCAAGAAAGCACAAATCACAGCAATTCGCGAGACAAACAGTACGGCAAGAACCCTGCAGTGATTCCGTACAGGAACCCAAAAGCTAAGAACAGAGCCCAACCTCAAAGAGAAGTCAAAATCATTTGGCTCGTAAAAGAACAATAACTAACATTGAAAAACTATCTTCAATCATTCACTCATCAATGGAACAGGCTTTTAAAGAACATTGAAATCTTGCAAAGAAAAGAATAACAATGAGCTAGACATGCAAGGTTCTACCCTAGAGCTATAATCTTTACTCTTGTCGAGTAAAGTGGCCCTCTTCATGACAAAGCAATACTGACCAAGATTTCAGGTTAACCAAATATAACCAGGCCCTAGCCAGAAACCCCCACACATAGGCATTCCGCAATGTATGCATTAAACTGTCATGACGTAAAAGGACTGTTTGTGTTTGTGTATCAGCTTGAACCTAAAACATTTCAGTCATAAAACAGACTGGAAACACAGAAATTCATTCAAAGTATGACCAGCTGCCAACATGCAAGGACCTGTTCATAGCACTCGTCGGAACTACATTTTCCTGAACTTAAGTCATTAGTAACCTAAAATACACGCATAGATAAGCGATATCCAAAGATCTTTCACACTTGATAAATAGACTATCTTCAACATGAGTTCTTTATGTATACTTAAGAAAAAGCCCAACTTTCCACACCAACATTAACCAACTACTTTATCATAATAAACAACCATCTTTAAAACATAGCAAGGTGACCTTCAAATAGACTACATTAGCATCACAATATGACAGATATTCAATTTTTTTTGGGAAAAAAACAGCCAGGCCAAGCTCATTATTTCACCGAATACTTTCTCCCTAGCCAAGTAAAATTATACCCACTCAAGGATAAAGCGCACTGTGGTTTAGATACGACGCTGCTTGGGGAGTCTACAACCATTGTGGGGCTTTCTGGTTGTATCTTCAATGTATACAATTGGACTGTGACCCACTCGGGAGCCAGAGAAGCCCTCTTTCCAGCTCATGATAGCTTGCCTTTTCTTCTTAAAATAAGTAAACCCTTTCACCTTCATCACAACTGATTTTAAGCCGATATTTCTTGACATCCGTCCAACATGTTCTGCAGTTGCTTCAGCCGCGTACTGAGCCAATTTTGGTCCTCCTTCCATATCTGGTATGGAACCAGCTGAGGCCCCAAGTTTCCTGTTGCCCTTCGAGTCCGTCACAGTAACAAAGGTATTGTTTTTCATCAGCTTTACGTGGACAATATCACCATTTTTCTATATATTATATCGAGGAAACTGAGAACCCCAAAAGTTGCTCCTTCCATCCTCCTCTACTACTCCCCTCACAAAGTTGATAGACCTGGAATTCCTCTCTCCATTCTCAGAAGCATTGAAACCATTTCGAAAATTTTCTTGGTGCCCTGTAAATCCCACAATATATTTTCAGTCATTAGCAAGAAATTACCATTAATGAAGAATTCATTTCCCTTCCCATCAAACCTCTTGATTCGCCATTTATCTTAGCAAACTAATTTCACAAGCAACCGTATTCAAAATGCGATTCAAAACCCAAAACGCTTAACTTTAACATGTAATCAAATTCATAGGCAACAAAAACAGAAACCCAATGGACGAAATTGGAAAGGAGGCAGGAAGAAGAAGAACTTGCCTGGCGGCATCCTAGAGTCGGAGAAAGACCTGGAAGTGATGAGCTCGGCGTGGCCAGGGCATCGGGTTCTAGCTAGCTGGTGAATCAGAGAGGAAGACAGTCGAGAAAGAGAAGAATACATCGCATGTACGATTTCCTGAGGAAATTAAACAAACACTTAATCGGTAATCTGAATAGAAATTGAATAGCATTTCCAATTCCATCAGCTACTGGAGTGTGAAAGAGAAACAAGCCACCAACTACAAAGAGGAAATCGAACAAACCCTAAATCGTAAAATTTTGAGAGAAGAAAATCCAACCCATAAGAAATCCCAATCATTCAAACGAATTGAAACCCACAGAAAATACTCATATTGACTTAAAGAAGAAGCTGAATGCAAGTGATTATTTTGATCTGCTGTATTTCTATTATACCAACTGTGACGGAATTGGAACTAACCTAAAAATATACAGCTCTCAGATCTTGGTTGTAGCTTATTACTGTTATATGGTCTTAACCATGGATAAACTGCAGATCCAAATATCTTTATAGACTTCAAATTTGGTTGCTTGTTATACAATCTTTTGTAAGGAGATTCCAGTGCCAAAGACTTATAAGTCATTCTATTTATCAAGAACACTGAATGTGCGCATGCATAATACCAAAATTCAATAGGTAAACTAGTAGCAATAAGCAGAGTTATAGCAGTCTCTACAACATGCATGTGCTTCCTCTCAACTACTCCATTTTGTTGTGGAGTGTAGGGACAATATATCATATGTTTAACTCATTTTGCACCAAGAAAAGTTATAAAACTAAGACTGGTGTATTCTCTTCCTCCATCAGCTTGTAAACACTTAATAACAGTTCCAAATTGAGTAAGAACAAAATTTTATAACCTCACAAATGTAGTAATTGTATCAGATTGTATCAGATTTGTTGCACAATGGAAAAATCCAAACATACTTTGTATATTCGCCAACAAAAGTTATAGAGTATCTTTCAACAGATTTTACAGGAGATGGTCCCCATATGTCTGAGTGAAGCTTCTAAAATGGTAAAGAACATTTATCACTTCTAGTAGGAAAAAGAATTCTAGACATCTTTCCTTTTATACAATGAGTACAGAGACTATGATCACTATCTATTTCTATGACTTATGTTGGACTGTTTTAGCATGACAGACAAAATCTCATGTGTAGGATGTCCCAATCTTTGATGCCAAAGTTTTGACTTTACCAACTGTCCCAAAAAAGCTGAATTATGGACTATACACTTCACTCATTTTGATCATTTGACAACTGGTATTTGAAACCGCTCCCTAGGCTTACTTTTTCCTTGATACAAAACCTCATTTGTCTTCTTGTCCAACACAAAAAAACTCACTTTCATCACATATAAACCCGCTGTGGTTATTAGCACATAATTGTTGCACAGAGAGAAGATTCCTTGCAATCTTAGACACATGTAACACATTATTAAGAATAATTTCATAAGAATTGTGTTTGAGTTTAGTTGAACCAATATTGTCAATGGTTAAACATGTGCCATTGCCAATTGTGATTTTCTCAGAACATTCAAATGGAGTGACTTGATTAAGTGAATTCACATTTGCAGTGATATGATGAGAAGCTCCAGTGTCAACAATCTAAGAATCTTGAGGAGCATATTGAGTTTTTTTCTGTGCTGTCATAGCATTCAATGTTGCAGGTGGAGGTTGACCTTGAAATGCATAATTTGCCTTGTGAAAACATTCCAGTGCAGAATTGTTCTTGCCTTTATAACCACCATTTGATCTGTAATTGTTGTTTCCCTTGTAATTGGAACCATTAAAAGGTTTATGGCCAAAGTTTGGTCTTAGACCACCAGAATTATGACCATTGCCCATAAAACCAAAACCATAAGACTGTGAATCAAAGAATTGAGGCTACTGTGCATATGGTTGCTGTGGATATTGTTATGGATATGGTTGTTGTTGATATT